TGTACTGAACTTAACAACAAGAGCATTACAAAAAGTACAAGCCGGTAATCAGACAGTCTCGTTTAGGGTGAGAGATTTTAGGCGTCGCAGCTCGCGGAATGATCCAATCAGATCGCGTCAGGGGTCAGAGGGAATTTACTTGCTTAAGGTTACAGGTGAGAGGGACGAGAGGCTCGACTACTTTTGTTTGTTTACGGAGAAGTTAATTCATTCGGACTGGACGGGGTTTAGACAGATACAGGTCCAATCGGAGACGTGTGACGGCCGAAACACCAATAATCTGCTGGGTTTCCCATGGGATACGATTGGTTGGATTCCTTTGAAGTTACAACGGATTCACTTGAAGTTGAAAGGGTATAGTGATGCCTTACATCTTTTGGATAACAATGCACAGATCTCGAATGGAAACCGACAATTGATTGTTTAGTAGAGAAGTGTGCTATTACCTGTATAGATACGAGTCATACCATGCGCATCGTCCGAGGGCTCCGCACTTCCCAGTGACCCTTCGCCAAAGCGAACAAAGGCCAGTGATCGAGAGCGTAACGTACCTTCTGTTTGATCCGATGAATCTGAAAAGCGGACGAATGAAGTGTAAGGGCTCAGCGAAGGTGGTAAACACTCATGCCTTCGTGTTGTGTGGTTGTACGCGGCTTCAGTAACACTAAGTTACTGTGAAACAAATATGATTGATCTAATTGGTCAGTTGTAGAAGGCGTGCTTTCAAATGATGTGCATATGTACCCAGAGGACAGGAAGGACAAGTGCAGGACGCATCTCTGAATCAGCTTTGTCGTAAACAGACCTTTCCCCGCACAGATGTTACGATCAACATTTTGTGCCGAACGGAAAGATTGATTTTGTGCTCCTAATGATCAAGAGTAATGAACTTAACGAAAGTATAACCAAAAATTGAAAAGTCAAAAGGACTCATAAGAACTCACTATATAGATATATCAACGTGAAAAAAACAAAGGACTAGTCAACAAATAGGTAGGAGAATCAAAGCTACCAATTACCACTAACTGTCAGAAAGTGGAACGGCAATAGGCACTGAGGGTCAATCGTTATTCCAGCCTTGTAAACAATGGTAATGGTTTGATTTGTTTCCCCCGAAGACTTACGACAAATTTTCCCATCACGCTTTAGCCGAAACCCGCAATATTTTGGCCTCGATTCACAATCCTTCAGCTTCGACACACAATCCTCCAGCCGAAATCCACAATGCTTTCGTCAGGATATGTAGTAATTTAGCAGAGGTTAACGAAAGTTAGTATAAAATGTTACTACAATACTGGTTTGGTCCAGGACCTAGCCTCACTCCAACTAAGGAAGTAATGAAACAAGTGGACAAGTTTATTATTTGGGCACATCACCGATGAAGTGTCATATCGCATTCAGAAGGCTCGATTGGCAGTTGCCAACCGGAGATATCTGTGGAACCGCCGCGACATGCGGCTGTAGGAGAAGTGTCGAGTGTATATTGCGGGAGTTTGGTCAATTCTGCCATATGGCGCAAAGACTTGGACATTACGAGAACAAGATAAAAAAGACCATCGGTGTTTGAACATCGACGATCACGCAGCATTCCAATCGGACGAGCAATGGGGTTAGACGGAGAGTTTTAGGTAACCGCATTCTCCGACCGGAGCAAGAGGTCGTCCGTCATAGAAAACTTGGTTGTGGCGTGCGTTACGCATGTCATCAATTAGATTTTTATTACACACGTATGTGTGATGAACAGCACACAGGGCAAACCCTATAGTCGAGAAGACATGCTGCTTCGTCATGGAAACCGATAACCTAAGCCTTGGAGTGGTGAACCACATAAGGCCCCATAAGGTTAGGTGTGGTATTGAACAGGACGACCGCAAAGCTGCCTACCACCAAAGATAGGTGGCGGGGCTCGAACCTCGGAACATAGGATCCAAAGCACGCCGGTAACAGCGGCTAAACCACTTTGCCACCACCACCACCACCACCACCACCACCACCACCACCACCACCACCACCACCACCACCNGCAGATAGTGACTGAAAAAACCAAGACCTGACACGAGGGTATGAAAACTCTAAGCAGGAGACTCGGTCATGTAGTTCACAGCAGGCTCTGTGGACGGGAACTTCGGGATCATTGTAATCATTGGATAATGAACACCGTTCACAAAAAACAATCCATTTAGTACATTTTGCCCCCATGAAGCTTTAAACAAAACCCGCAATCCCTGAGCCTCGGCGTCGTAATCATCAAACATTGCAGCGTTAATAAACCGATGGTTAGAGACAGAGAGTTATGGATAGGTGTCACAAACAGTGGCACTCATGCATCGGCACATTATCTTTGGAACTTCAGTCTGTATGAATTCGCTATCTTCCGCTTGAATCTGCTGTGAACATTCTAATCTTCACTCTGCTCTTTTATCCAAATGGGCAACCAAAACCGGCGCACGAAAGTGCATGATTAATGGTTAAAGAACAAAACAGAACAGTCTACGGTGTTTATCATCCTTAGCCTGTTATTGTATTCATCTCTAGAGAACGGAGTTCACTTTAGGTGGAGATACGGAATGGTGAGTATTCCGTTTAGGATGCTTCAGGGTTTGTGAAGGCGCATTTTAAAGTTCCTTTGTGGTACCGTCTTGTGCAATTCGATTCGTGGGTAATGGGGCTACAAAACAACATCACGAGAGGTGGCAGTAATATTGGTTGTAATTGGCGCTCCGTTATACGCTTCTGCAATATCTGCAAAATCGGATAGACAGACAACGTCCTATCGCTTCATGAGGGCGGAAGACTGACAAAGTAACTGAATGTGCACGCAGAGGTGATGATTTGAAAGAAGTTGCAACACACCTCGGTAATAAAATCAAAACATATCGTCCTATTGCACCCACGGGTGGGGAAAGAACACTCAAAGCTGGATCTTAAAAGGTGATGTTCAACGACCAGTTCACAGACATTTGTGTGACATTGTCGACGAAAACCCTACAACCACATTGAGACAGTTAAATAAAAGAATGGAGACGGACTTCAAGGATACATCTATCAGCAAGACTTCCACTGACCGATTGCTGGGTGGATATCACTATTCGGTTAAAATGTTGACAATCCAGCCCGTCGAACGGAACTCGGAAACTGTAAAAGTACAACGAGCGGAATATGCCTATTCGTTACAGCGATTGGGCAACGCAACAGTGAAGCTGCATAGTGAAGAGATCTACTACAACACATGGTGCTGTCGCAGCTATGGGCCACCCAAAGTGGGCTGTAAAGACGTTAGAAGCCTCCCTTCCAGCGAAGAACTCAACTTGAACATAACCTGTTCATCTGTCTCCGGTATCTTGAAATATGAATTTCGCACAAATATAACTTGGGATGGTTTAAATGGGTTACTATCCAGCTGTTGTGTGTTAACTGTTACTGAGCAACTGGCTGTTCCAGTTGATTTTTATCTCTGACAATGCGCCCGTTCATCGGAGAGCGTAGAATGCGCGGTTAGATGCCAACCACCAAGCTTGATTCCTTCCAATAGACAGTCTCTATTTCAACCCTCTGGAAGAGGTCTTCAATATATTAAATTAGGTTAGCGTCTTTCATTCTTTAATTCGCTTATGACTATCATTAAAAACTGGTCCACTGAGAGCGCGGAAGTCATACGAGATGCACCTAACGGCCTGAGAATACGGGCACATCGTTCAAACCTTTTCCAACCTGTATGTAGGGTGGCATTTGATACCATTAGGACAGTCAACTGCGCAGCATGCGATTGCCACACTTTCTCATTTTTTATAATCCAGATTCGCAACATCAAAATTTCTAGAAAATTAAACGTCTCAAAATTCGTTGACCTCAGAATATTCCGAGGCTCTTTAATATGACTCACCCACAGTGGTATGACTAAAGTTTGTGTCTAGGTTAAGGGAATATGGGTCGCGGTTAAAGCAATGCGGGTTTCGGCTAAAGCTTGATGAGAAAAAGAGATCTTTTGTCTTACCAGTGAGCACAACTAAACGAGGACACCCCACAATTTCATGACTCAATGTGAATGGGATTGTGAAGGGAACAAAGCACGCATTACCAAAGTGAATGGAAAAAGAACTGGAACTAGAACAAAAGATACCTAACACAACCACATGCAGATAACAGTAGCAAATAAGATCAATTGATTCTCAAACTGAAAGCGAGCACATTAAAGCAAAACAGAACACCATTATACTTTCGCATAAAGGTAGTATCAACGAGCGAGAGAAAAGAGCCATCTGCTATTTACACAATTAATGCAATGTTGTGAGAAATAAAGCCCCCTGAAAAAAACAGTTTGATCAATTGTTCTCGGTAATGTGATGAACAGTTAACGAGATTTAACTCAATAATCAAAGGGAGAGGGAGAAAAAGCGTTAGAACAAATCGCACTTTATCGACAGGGTTCTGAGATGATAATTGCTTTGAAAGCCATTGATATTCCAATAACGGTACCTGAGAAAGCGAAAACAATTCACCTTTTGAATCTAACTTGCCAGGAGCTGGTATGACTAGATCCGACGGGCCCGATGTGCTAGTGCGCTGTTGCGGACCGAGGGCTTTGCGAGTATCACGGGCACAATAGAACACAGTGATAAATTGATGAACCAATCGAAGCAGAGGTAAATTGACGTGTTGGCGTAAGAAATCCACATCCAGTACAACATGAACTTTGGTGGTAGTCGAAACCAGATCAAATCTATCCATGCCTGGAGTCTGTAAATTAGTGATAGATTATGTATAACCAGGAATTTAGTACCTCAAACCACCAAACAAGTATCAAAACCGGGTACATATTCAAAACAAAAGCTAACCCACTGATTCGGAATTAAATCAGTCAGACGGTTGTGGAAATGTCTTCGATAAAATATAGGAACGCATTTCAGACGCAGAGCTAAAATATTTTGGCAATACTGTGGTCTTCGAAAAGTGATGATGAAGAGAAGGAAGGTATTAAAAGGGGTGATGATTTCAGAAATGTCACATTTTCGAAACGAAACATAATTACAGAAAGCCGAGATCAATGTCACAAGAATTCAAGGTTAATGGAACCATAATAATGACTAGTGGCGGATTTTATTTGATGATATGAGGAGTTTTATCGTGGATACAGCAAACAAAGCGTGAACGAAAAACCTAGGAAGCGCCATACAGCTGCTTGAACCTGAGTGGGTCTCAGAAGCTGTGTGAATCTATCAACCCAGGGAGGATTGAAATCCAGACCTCTCAGGTAGGTTATGAGACCGAATTCAATTTAATTCATACACGACATAGCAAACACCATAGTTGTGAGCTTTATGCAGACACGACACCTCACGCCCGGTAGTCGAGTGGATAGTATGCTTGCAGGTTACTTATGACGTCTCGGATTCGACGATGAGATGGGGCGATGGATTCGCACTGCTGATGAAACCCAACTGGAACGAAACAGTTGCTCAGTACTTCCTAGCCTTTCAGTTCACGCTTCATTTCTTCCGTACATCAAGGAATTCACCATGGAGACTGTGATTCCTTTTCGAAAGGAGCATGGCGTGTGTTTGCGGTTGGTGGAGTATAAGGTATGGGAAACCCCGAAATGATACACAACAAAACTTCCATATGAAATAACTTTGAGTACACATAATAATCAGGTATTTTGGCATATAGCAGACACTCACGTTCGGTAGCATATCTTTCTCGTCACTGTGATCCACAACATCACGCAGAGTTAATCGAGAACCAAAATTACGACACAAGAAGGCAGACTGTCTGCCCATTGGATTAGCATTACTGGATCGTCTTTGACTCGTCCCCACGAAGGAGGCAGTTCCGCTTGAACTGAATGAATTTGGATTGCGAGAGATCATTGGGTTTCGAGCGGAAGAAACGATCTCTATTTGGAAAGTCTCCAACAGACCATCTGCCGAGAAGAAACCACCGAATTTTTTCATCAATGTGGTACGTCGAATACCCTGAGCAAAAGAGAAGAATAACGATAAGGCGTAGGTAGACGAATCCATAACAACTTTGTGGAGGTTTGGTGAGAGAGGTGAAACCAAAACTCACTTTAACACTGAGACCAACTGATTCCAATAAGGGCGAGAAGAAACGCTGAATGTATGCCACATGCTGGAATTGGGCACTCAGATGAGCCGCTTGCTCAATATCCGCGGTCGTTACGCGCACATCTTCTGGGAGTCTAGCTGGGTCTTGAGTTGTGCCACGATTACTTTGCTGTGCCCTAGGCTCAGTTACGCTTAACGTGGGGATCCCGGCTTCACGATCGCCATCAAACGGTATAGTTGGAGGCTGGTCAGTCTCATCCGCAAAGATGGTCCATTTCTTCGAGGCCGAGTGTTGAGGAAGAGCTTCATTGGGTTGCTTGTTTGCTTCGAATGAGCGAAGATTCGTGTGGAGGACACTAGTTCGCAACAGAGAACGATGGAAAGGGATATGGAGTCTTTGTTAATGGAAGGCACAAAAGACCGCTTGGCCAAAGGAAAATGGTATTGATGATGAAGAGTAGAGTAGAATAAAGACTATAACTGTTACAGGTGATCCAATTCGGTGAAGAAAAACAAGCAATAAGGGACATTTGCTAAAAGAAGAGGGTCTTGCTATAGTAACAATCAAAAAATAATAATTGTTTCATCCTTGGGATGCCCACACAAAGATCCCTGTTTGAATTCACATTGTTTTCGCATTGCATTAGTTATCCTCCACTTATTCTGTTAGACCGACTACGTCACACTGTTTCCCCTCACCCTAGTATATTGGCCTAACTACACACCGAGCGCTGAGCTTCCTTTGACATCGTTCACACGGCAGGCACTTCTAACACGCCGTGTCACTAAGTGTACTTTAGTCCGAACGTTGCGTCGAGTGTTCACAAACGTCTGATCGATTATCTTCAATTTCTCCAAATCCGCTGCCCCTGTTGACATATGTGTCCATTCGCCGCTCTTTGCCCTTTGCTTCTCCATCAAACGCTTCGCTTTGGCATGGTTCCCTGTCGATCACTTCTCTTGTTTATCACCTCTGACGCATTTAACCGCATCCGAATAAATCACGGATTATCTCCTGAACTTCACTCCGCGTCATTGTTTCTTGGACCAATGGCGATGAGCCATCGTTGACCGCATTGTTCAAACTTTCACCTAATGCACTATGATTT